CAGGTCCTCAGAGCGCCGTTAGTTAACTTTAGTAAACAAAGAGCAGGAGCATAACCATGGGCCTCTTGTCTGCTTGTGAATGCAAAATTGACAAAGTTGGTTTTGAAAGAGAATATAGTAAGTTATTTCAACTAAGGGCAATTTATTGAGTCCAATGAATGGTTGTTTGTTTCTTGAAATAGCACATGACTTTGATTAAACCAAGATCTTTGATAAATACGGTATCGACAGTTGGGAGACCTCTCTTCAGCAATGAAAGGAAAACTGGTCAGATTGGATGGTAACATAATAATCCAGGACAATTGAGGAGGAAACCTGCTACAGGCTGGGAAAGACTTGAGATTGGGGCAGCCTGTGTAACTGCATACATGCTAAAATTTCCACCAATTTGACTGTAAAAAATTTTACAAACCATGAATCTCTGTGCTTCCTTTTCAAAATCATACTTCTTTCTGTTAATGTATTGTAAATCCCTGAATTGTCCCACAATGGGGAAATTCACTCTCTGCATTTTACCCATCCTCCTGTTGATCTTTCCCATAAATTACATTTTACAACTATTACAGGTGCTGGGAGAAAATCTGAAGGACTGTGGAGTTACTGAATAGGAAGTAAGCCAAATTAAAAGCCATACATAAACATCTATTTATCAGTATTTTATTCATCTTCATCACTGAAATCAGATACATCAAAAAACATACATTGGAACCCAGTGTTTTGCTGAAATCTTACCTTGCTCCATTTAACACATTTCACAGGGAAACATCACACATCTATAACTACACAGAGGTATAAAGTACATATGAGTAAATATACTTTAGTATCTTTTTGTTTTGTTTTAGTAGTTATCATATTGTTATCCCAAAATAAAAACATCTCCCTATCTTGAAAACAACATAAAAGATGAGGCATAGAAAGCCTCATTATATAGCTCATCACAAATACACTCAACAGACCATAAAACTTCTTTATTTTGTCTTTTCTTATTTTATACTGAACTAGTAGAATGCCCTAAAATAAAGCAGAATCTTTCCGTCGAACACTGAAATATAATGAATTTGCAATTTACATATATGTATATATTTATAAAGCGATAAGTATACATTATCGTTGAAGAAAATAGAGCAATGCATGTTCATAAATACACAGGAGGTTCATGGTTGAATCTAAAAATGAAAAGATGACAGATAAACCTAAGACAGTTCTCTGTGGCACTTGAACAAACTGAAGTGTGTTGTATTGATAATGCAGCATAATGTTAACAAAAGCTTATTTTTGTTCAGTTATTTTGTGCACTCCATGACGAAAGCAGCACAAAATGTGATAACCTGAAATTAGATTTTTTTTTTTTTAAACACAAAACAAATAAATCAGGAATGAAACGTGTAGCGTAGTTTGTTGGCTGCACCATGTGTCGCCTTCAATGGCTGCATCCTGCTTGGCAGTCAGCACTAAGGCAAGAATTGAACAAAAATGAAATAAAGCAGAGAAGAAATATGTCTCACATACACAGGAAAACAAAAAAAACATTTCAGTACAGACACACAGAGAAACACTGCTTAATTAAGGTGAAAGGTTTTAGGTGACAGATTACTTTTTTGTCTATATTGGTATCCTGCATTAAAATAAGTATCTCCACAAACATCAATCTGTTCCTTTAATTATTAAACCTGAAATGATCCAGGTGGTCCCACAGAGACAAGTGATGTTTAAAGCTAACACTGGCTGCAGTTTCTGTGCTGACTGGCAGCCAGTCTCATATGAAAACAATACAACTTAATTGGATCATAGTTTCCTAAATTCCTACCATTTTCTAAAAAAAAAATAAAATAAAATAAAAATACGTCCTCAAATCTATCCCAAACCCATAAACACATCTAGTGTAAGTCCTCAAGATAAAACCCTGGACTACAGTATCCTCAACACCTATTTGTCCCCCCTGTCCCTAAGAAGGACATGAATAAATGCATCTTTTTCTGCAGTAAGATACTCTGAGATATTAAAAAAGGAACACAAATAGAGGCTTTTATGGGAACATTTATTCAGGTGAAAACAAATCCCATTGTAAGAATTTTCTTTTTTTTAATTACCAGTGCCCCACTTATTGGACCTCTATTTTTATTATTTTTTTTGAATGAGTTTAATGCACCTTAATCTTTTTATTATTATTATTATTAATATACTTAGTTTTTACTTCATTATTCCCCGTTTTTTTTGGGTAAACTTGTCATATAAGCATTCAAACTATTGCTGTTAGAGCCTCCAGCCAGCAGGGGTCCCCCAAGAGCCACTTGCATTTTCAGTTTAAATCTCTAAAGTTGTTTTCTAGTAGGTTTTCTTTTTTTAAATGATCCAACGTTAAATTCCTTAAATTGAATTTAAAACTGCATCTGTAGAAATAATTTAAATGTCCTAAAAACAAAGCTGACGGACATCTTTAATTTAAAATTTAAACTTGGCTCCACCTTTACCCTGAAGAATCTCCATTAAAAGACTGCAACTGCAATTGGGCAAATGAGACAATTTGCTTAAAGCTTTAGCCTTATGAAACATTTTATTCAACGCACAATTTAGCCAATAAATAATCAAACTGAAAGACTAATTAACTGATTAACTCTAAAATCTGTGGATGATATGCACAATATGTAAAAGATTCAGACCCAAAGCTTCTTCCTGATAGGAAAGCAATCAGCAGAATTTCTGGTAAAAGGACAATAACAACTTTTTAAAGGAAGCATTAATAAAAAAGAAAAAATACATTAATGTTTAAATGCATGGCAGGTGTGTCAGCAGGTATATTTCTATACCTGCCAAGACAATCAATGAACTGTCCTAGCAGTAGCAACAGCGTTCTTGTTATAACGGTTGATATAATTGTTGCATATTTCCCGCCGGTATTCTGATTTTTTTTTTTTAATGATGAGCTGTAAATCTTGGGCTTGGAAGGCCTCCCTGCCATCACCCTAATGTTTTGCTTACTATTCAGATTCCTTATTAGATTCTAGTTTCGACTTTGACCAGGCCCCTGAAAAATGTAAATATAACTTTCAGACAGAGGAACCATGATAGAAAATAAAAATATGAATTCAAATCTAACTTCTCCACTAGTGTGAACAACTAGGGACTTTATTGTAGAACAACATCGCTGCCAGACTAATCTTCACCATGTTTTCTATCAGAGCAATAATAAAAAGCTTAAAATATTAACTGCAATTAAAATAAAAACGTTTACTAGAATAGTAAGGAGGGTATAAATCCAAAACAAAATAACATCTCAGAGCTGACTGAACTGCAACAAAAAGTGCACTTTTTTAAGGCTTTTTTGAGGGGATCCTGACCAGGGGTGGTAACAAATATAAAGATATATAGATATAAGCTTCCAACTTGGAGAAAATTAGCTGTTATGAAGAGATTTAACTCCATACGATAACTTCTCCCAACTATCCCTCAGATCTGAGTGTCATATTTGCTACTGGTGGTCTCCTCTCACAATTTAACACTTTACTGCAAATTACTAAAATATCAGAGCTAACATGTCCAGGTAAACTTTAAACTGCTCTGTGATGGATGGTTGTAAATCCATTTAAAATAATTCATCAGAACTGTGTCAAGTATTTTAAGTATATATCTATATGTAATATTATATATCATTAATATATTATATGTTATTAAAGATCATAATTAGGGGTAGTTTGAGGCAGTGGTTCTCAGCGTGACAGAAACAACAAATATATTACCTAAAAAGGTCATTTTTGGGCAACAAAATCTCCCCAGAACATATCTGAACCCTGACATTTTAGTAGTCTTGACGCTGGTAGCCACCAGTGCCGTCGAAAGCCCCATCGCTGTTGGGCTGGCCCCCTCCGCCGCTTGGACTCTCCAAGTCGTCCCCTCCAAAAGACGTGTAGGGCGCTCCAGCTGCATCCTGGCTGGGATCGGTGTAGTCCTGGGAGAAGAGGGCAGAGTCGGCCCCTAGCTTGTATCTCTGAAAGGCGAGGAATGACTGGGCCGCCTTTGGGTACAAAGAGGGTGGAAGTGATAGAAAACGTGCAGGGGGCGTAGTTGTGGAGCGAGGAGGCAGAGTTGCAAAGCAGTGGTGTTACAGCAGAGGTTTTTCATAGAGATGAAAAAAAGCGAGAAGAAAACATTGATTAGTTTGCCATAAATCGTTAGGTGCTCATTAGACATTTGAGAGGGCCATTCAGTCAAACAGAGCAGCTCACATCTGAAGGCAGCGAGGAAAAAAGTTATTTTTGCATTGCTGAGCTTTTTAAAGAGACAAACAACCTCAACCTTATATCAGTATACCCTCCAAAAACAAACAAACAGTGTCTCTGAGTGTTAAGAAACAGATGAGGAGATCCATTGTGAAGCAAAACAATCCATAAATATCCAATAATTATTAAATCAAATTGTTACAGCCACCTAAATCAAGCTAACCCTGCAAACAACTCCTCAAACTATTAAACCTACAACTGTTTACATCTGAACAATTCTAAAATAGTAAAACCAAGCAAGGCTGGCTATGCATAAGCACACAAGATATCTTAACACTGCTGAAAGATCTAGAAATAAGTAACATTTTCTTAAAATAAGTGTACTTCCCCTTTACTTAAGTAGATAAGAGGATTTTCCAATGGAATGAGTATTTTAACTCTTAAAATAAGATAATCAGATAATATGCACTTAAAATAAGACAATGCAATTGTTTTTTTTCCTTATTTTTAATGTAAATGGTCTAGTTCTATTGGCAAAGTGTCTCACTTACCACCTTAATTCAAGACAAATGCACTTTTTTTTTTTTTTTAGAAAAACTGACGTTAATTTCTATTTTTTTGCAGTGTAGATTCAGTGTGCAGCATTTAGTATCCAACACTTCCAAACATGAAAACCATATAGATGTATTTTAGAGGGCAGTATATTGTGAAGTGCAGGAAATTGATGCATAGTTTTCACTTCTTGCTCCAGAAAAACCAATCAAGTAATTCATGCCTTTACATTTACCTGCACCTAAATAGTTTGCATATCTCACAGTTAAAAACTGTAAACCAACACTGGTGTGTGACTTAATGTTTTTCCACTTATTCTCTTTAGCAAAACACAATTTCCTACATTTTCCAAATATTTTGTCATACTAACATTTAATTCCTTCATTTTTTTGTTATTTATACATTATTTTTACCCATTGATATGGAATTTCTCTTAAATAATTTCTTTAAATTATGCAACTAGCTTGAAGGCAACATGAAGTCACTTCAAGTTTACTTTTGTCCCTTAACCCTTTATATTTTGTTCCATTGTTCTGTTTACTATTATGGTCCAGTGTGCCCTTTGCAATAAAGGTTAGGATTTAGCTTGTTCAATGGATGACATAGGAGTTATTGTTTTGCTCTTTACAGGTATTGTCAGTATGAAGGGGGAATCTCTTTTTTTCATAAAGCGACATCATGTTGCAGCAAAAAACACTTAAATAAGCACAGTACAAATAAGCCCAGCTTACGTCTAAAAATCTAGAACTTGATTTTTTTTTGCCATTATTCTTTGCAAAACAGCTTAAATACAGAAAGCTTTGGTGGAAAATATAGTGAATATAATTATTCAGACTCTTATAAGGTTTAGGTTCTCTTCTTTGTTTGGAAGTGTAGCATTGTAGCTCTAGCTGTACTGTAAGTTTAAGTTTGTCCAGCTCAAAGATGAACGTCCATGCAAGGTTAAGGCTTAATAAAGCTCTTTTTCTTAACATGTTTGTAGGAGTGTTTTTGTTGGCAAAGGTTTGAGAACCTCTGGTCTAATAAACTTCAGAGGCTTTCATTGGAAAATCTAGATTTCTACTGTGATTATACCACAGGTGAGCTCTGTTAGCCAATGACTAACAGCTTCAGAAGATAATTTTTCCAATTGGATTTTTTTTATGATGGCTTTTATGTATGTCTTAGAAGAAAAAATAAAAATCATGTATTACACTTCACAATAATGCATTACTTCTATGTTTGTTTAACACAAAAGATAGACCAAAGCTTTAGGTTGTATAAAAATGGCAACTCTGAAGAGTATGAATAGCTCTACAAAGGCACTGGAAGAAAATGAAGATGTTGACAGAACTTTAATATTGCTAAACTATGAAAAAAGGGATCTGAGGAGAATACATCTGCTTTTCAAAAACACTAAAAAATGCAGATCTGTAGATTCGCCTGAGGAAATAAAGCGCAACACACCAAAGGTTCCTTGATCAATTAATCATGCTGTATTGCTTATTCAACCCTGAAGTCCTGCAATTGAAACCTTAAAGAAACTCCACCAACGCTGCAATGTGTTTCCTAAACCTCTTAGCTCTTTCATCAAAGAAAGGAGAAAGAGGCTGAATATTAGTCTTTGATTAAAAGGACACAAGAGATAAGACCACATTTCTAAGGATATATAAAATACAGCAGTTGCATCAATAAAACTGAGAAATGTTAATCTTTGCATCAAATTATAACATATTCAGGTTAATCGTGTTAATAGCTAGAAGACATAGATGCCTAGAAGTTGTGACAGCACTTGTTTAGGGGCTCCAGGTTTTGGGGTAGCTGTGCTTTATTTAACTTTAGTAAGAAACAGGTACCTGATGAAGGAAAATAAGCCAAAATGCATGCAAACGCATATTTTATTTTTATTTTTCAGAAATCTTAGATCTAGTAGGACATTCAACAAGGCCATTGTTTTTAAAGTTGGAAAAAATTTAATGTACAATCCTGAAATAAATTATTCTATCATTAATCACTGAAATAATGTCAGTGTCAGTATTACTAATAGAAAGAGCTGTCATGCTGCTAGAGTACAGCTTCACTCACTTCCAGCAGTAGATTGGTGACCTGGTGCCCCTAAAGAAGTTCAGCCACTAAGAAGTAACCGGAGGGGGGGTGTGACCGGCTGCAGAGGGTTATGGTAGCAGATATGAAAGATAGAACAGAGTCAGACAAAAGGTTGATGTGGCTGAGGGGGGAACAGTTTGATGTACTCCTCTTCAAATGATATATTCTTTAATTTCTCCATAGAGAATAGAGTCTGAGCACCCTGTTGGAAAGAGAGCCAGAGTCTAATAAGATCATATATACGCAAACATGGCAAACAGATCAATTCTATAGATTATATATATATAAGAAGAGGAAGCTAATGGCTGGTAAATATCTGTAAAGAGTTAAAAGAATTTAGCCTTTTACAGCAGTGTTTTATTTTCACACTAAAATAAAACCCAACTCTAAATTTAAGAACATTCAGTGAGATGGAAACAAAAATATTTTAAGAAAAGAATTTAAACAGCTATCCAAAATAGTTTTTTTTACTTTTAACTTTTAGTTTAATCTGATTGCTTTCTATTCCCCACATATGCAACCATGATGTGTCACTAATTTGTCTAATCCATTCTTCAAAATAAAAGCATGTAAATGATCTCAGGTTAAAGGTTTGATTTTCTAAAGTTTTCTGTAAAATATACTACTACAAGTATAATACTACAAGATCACTTTATTTTAAGGCTTTCACCACATCTTAACCATGGAAGCCAACAAATGTGTTACTTCTGCATGAGCTCTGTTGCTTAACATTCCTCAGTATCCTAGAAGCTTTGAAAAATAGACGCCCTTCGGCAACTTTGGTGACATGATGCATTGTTTGTTTTGTGGACTAATTAAAGCAATCAGACACCCTTACCCAGGTGAAGATTGAGAAAAAGGAAAAGGTGATAGCTGCCCGGGCAGCGTCACCTCCCTCTCTCAGGGGGTTATCCTCCTGCTTGGTCCTCTGCCACTGGTTGGCCAAAAAGCAGAAACCCACAAACCACATGAACGACCAAAATGCTGTAAAGGGGGAGAAAAGATCGTTAGAATTTGAATATCGATCAAATGTTCAGGATCACAGCAGCTGATTTACCTGGTTTAGTTACCGTAATACAGTAATCTTAACAAGAACAGATTTTAGTTCTCTTGATGTACAAGTCCCTTAGACTAATTTGATTTGTTAAGTTCTTTCTTTTTTGTACTCTTTTGGAGAATGTTTTTAAAAAAAAACAGTGTTTTATTCTTTTTTTGTTTTTATAGAGCAAAAGTAGGCATCCCTATCAGATCAGATTTCCAGCTGCTTTATCCAACTACCTTGGAAACGTACAGTGACAAAGAGAAGAGAATGTATACGCTGAAAAAATGGAAAAGATAATATTGTCTGTTATAGGAACTACCTCATTAAAAGCCACGAGGCTTGACAACCTTGTCCTGTTCACCAGTCACGCTGCAGCAGAGAGTAGCTATAATATATGACCTATATGGAAGTTATTTATATCACTTATGAACTGAAAGTCTTAATCTTTATGTTTGCATTAGAGATTGCTATTCTATAGTTACATAGTGATGGGTTTGCATATGGGGAGGCAGACATCTTTTGCACTACGGCAGCTCAGAGCGGACAAAGTAGTGATCCCCCTTAAGCTAGAACGGGACTGCGGCAAGTTAGGCCTATATACAAACTTACACAGTTTGTATATACAATAAAAATACTATTTATAAAATTAGACCTATACTGGCCATGACCGGCAACCATCCGGTTATTGTGAAAAGGACCAATTTCTAGCACCGGTTGTTGTTCTTTTTGTTTTTTGTATTTCTGAGACAGGCATTTTTCTTCTGCCCTCAGCCCGTGTTTGTTTTGGTCAGAGTGCCCGAAACAGGTACGAATCACCCGGACAACAGAGGTAAGGGGAGATAGCTTTCCTGAACTCAGAGGGGAATCAGTGTGAGAGCAGTGGAAGAGAGAGAGAGCTCCATAACAGGGATGAGCTGGACAGCTCTGTATCCAAGGAACCACAGTGGCAGTTTTGGAAGAGAGCTGAGGAGATCAGCGGCAGCTTGGAGAGGCCTGCCGGGAAACTTTACTGTTGGCCCAGAAGAGGGCACAAGGATTAGTCATGAATTGACTAATGCATACTTGTCAATGTACTTGAGGCAACAGTATTAAAGGATTTATGGATTTGATGCTGTGATCTAATGTAAATAAACCTCATCATCACTTGACAACATAGGTAAAGCGGACCATGACGTCCTCTATATTCTTGGAGGGAAGAGGCGGTGTGGAGGGGCGGTTCATGACACTGCTGTCTGACCATTAGATGTTGCTGAAAATTACGCATTGTTGCTTCAGCAAATCCCCTTAACATCCTCCACCGCTTTTTTTTGTGCTCACAGTTTAAAATCAAAAGCTGAATAAAAGATGTTCACAGTTTTTAAATAATGTGTAACTATGATCCACAACAATATATACATCAAAGAAGGCACTTTTTTTTTAAATGATCAAAAATGTATTCATTAAAGAAATTAAGGCTTTCGTTAAATGTAATAACTCACAGAAATGTAAGGGTGAAATGAAATACAATGCATTTGTTCTAATGTAAATTCAATGCAAAACTCAATTCAGTTCAGAGATAATTTCTTAATTTCAAAGGTAGATTCAATTAAAGAGGGCATTATTAATGTCCTAAAGGCCAAAGATGACAGTATCAACACCAGTGTTTCCTTTTTTAAATAACATTTTGAATTTTCAATGTTTGACTTTAAGATGTTTGAATTTTGAGTCTTTAGTCTTTCAGCTTTTTAATTTGCAATGCAAACTCTCACATTCGTTGACAATGCAAGGTTTCACTGATTTAGCTCCATAGTTTTAGTATCATGCAAACATAATTTGAAACACTAGGCTTATAAACCTGAAGCAGAAGAAGATAGTTCTGCTGTTGCTGCCTGCAGACGATGAGAAGCTAACGGATGCTAAAAGTCCCGAAGTGGGGGTTGTAGCTGAGAATCTAAGGCTGTTGAAAACTTCAGCCTTATGAAAAAATCTTGCGCTTAACCAGATGCTTCCTCGGATTTTAAGTATTCCTGCTGCTGGCCGTACACTTAATTAGTAATGTAGTGAATGTAGTCTAAAACTTATTTTGGAAAGTGGAGTCCTATTAGACATGCTTGCTTTGTTTACTGTGGCAGCAGCTTTGGATGTCATCAAGGTCGTTTGCGCGTGAGGATGTGTTCATGTCCGTCATTGAAAATCAATCACTACTCCACTCCCTTTGTGATACAATGATGCCTTTGGGTACCAAAACATGTTTGGTTTTACATTATTAGGTACTGGTAGTACTGACGGAATTCGCTTTGTACCAAGACAAGTAAAGAATTTCCCTATTAATGATGCATTTAACTCCTAACAACTTCATAACATCATTTTAGATATAGACTTTATGAATCAGATTACTTCTGAAAACATGTAGTCTGCGATATATATGTGTTTTTATTTAGGTTTATCAGAGTAAAGGGACTGAATACAAATCCACATCTTTTATATTCCATTTCCCTCCACTTCACAGGTGTGAAAGTCTTTGTGGCAGTCTATGGCATGAAATCCTCATGAATACATTTAATTTTGGGACTGCAAAATGTTCAAAGGATATTACTTGTTCTGGCAAGTCACTATAGTTGGATAGAAATAGGGAAAGAATACGAGTGGGTTTACCTGAAACTCCAACATCAGCCAGGACAGCCTTCTTTCTATCTTTAACGCTGCTGATCTGAGGAAAGTAGACATCCAGTGCCAGAAAGGCAACACAGCAGAGAAAAGCCATGGAGCCCATAAACACGCCATAGTTACAGGCATTTTGGTTGCGGTTAAAGATGCAGAACTCTTCCACTTCATTTGGGCGATTGATGTAGCCTTCGTTGGCGATACAGCCGAATATAACGATGGAGAAGAGCTGAAGAGGAGAAAACGAGACATTTTTCAGAAAATAAAAATCTCCAAGAGACTTACATGAAAACATTTTTAGCAAAAGCCAAAAAGTCATTGATTTGAAACATGTGGCTCCAGAGCAGTATGTAGCTAATTAGACCATCATCAGCAGGCCAAAATGATGAATAGGGATTTTGTACCGTTTAAAAAAAACCAAAACTAGTCATAACAGTTTTCTGCGTTTTTACGCAGTGTCTACCTTCAAATTCTATTAGAGACATTAAGAGTTTTTTTTTTCTTTATTATCTATCATTTCATATGGAACTTTCTCTTTCATTCTAAAACTTTAATAAAACAACATAACAGCTGGACCTTCCAGAATTTAGATGCTCTGACTTTAAAAGGTGAAGTAGATTTCTGGGTTCTTATGGTGTTTTTTATAGGGCAGAGGGAAAAATGGCTCTCCGAATTGTGAAGGTCGCCATTCCCTGCACCAGGCAAATGGGACAGTTATCAGGTTTTACTAAAGGGATTTTTCTTATCAACTTAAAAGTTTGCTTACTCCGGAGTACAACAAAGAGGACATTTAACAAGCAACAGTCTTTTTAAATATATCAGAAACAAAAAAAAACAAGAAAATCAATTCAATCTGTTGTTTTCCATAGAAAGACATCATTCTATTAATAATTTAATCTGACTGTGTTGTATTCTGATTAGTTGGAATTGAACTGCTTATAATTAGATTTAAACTTGAATCAGAATACATTAGAAGAAACATCATTGGGACTGAACAGTAATACATGTAGGCCTGAGTGGATGCTACAAAGATACAAACTGACTGTACAGTAAGTTGGGCTTATATCACTGTATCAACCTAATAAGAGAATGTAATTACGTTTACTTACAGCCCATTTTATATGATAAAAACACCTATAACACTGAGCACATTTAGCATAAGTGATATTATATAAATACACTTCTTGATTTCTATATATGGAAGGGATTGACAGAGTGTGTGTGGTTATTGTGGCATTCCTTCCACACATGGATAAAAACACAATGAAATACTTTATTTATTACTATCACTCTTTATTTAAATATTTATAGATTATCCCTCTCATAACTGTGTTGACATTTATATGAGTGAAGTGTGTTTTTAATTTAGACTCTGCTTTTTACCTAGCCTTTTTACATGTACAGTACCTGTTTCATCTCTAAAAGGTATTCAAACATCTAACAGAAGGGCATACTTATTGATGTCCGGGATCTTAGTGACTAAGATAATGGCACATGGATCAATACATGAGCACAGCTCAGAGGGGTATTGGCAAAAATACCAGAGGTGCCAAACAACAACTCCTGGTAGATAGAACAGTCGCTCAAGACTGCAGAACTCAAAACACTAACCTAAGCATCGCCTGGATTGATTGCAAGAAAGCCTACCACTCAATGCCACATACTTTGATTGTTGAATGCTTGGAGCTATACAACATCAACTTGGATACTTGGACAGGTCTCCATCAAATGTGGCATATACCAAGGAGACGCACAGTCCCCACTGCTGATCTGCATAGGTCTGAACCCCCTCAGCAAAATAATCAACAAAACTAGCTACGGATACCGACTCAGGAACGGAGCCACCATCAGTCACCGCCTCTAAATGGATGACATCAAGCTGTAGGCTAAGAA